TCATCCAATCTCTCAGGGCTTCGACGTTCTCTGGCGTCTCTTCTAGGGACCACGAGAAGTAGACAAAGGGTTGTTCCACATCGAACTCGTGTCTCGTGAATTTCATCATGTCCGAGACTTCCTCAGACCTTCCGGAATAATCACACTTCAAAGTGAATATACCGATCCATTCGGAGTGATTACGTGGTTGGGGAGGCTCTACCCAGTCCACTCCTATGCAGAGATAAGGGTCAGCTTGAAGTTGATGATGGTACGGACCTGATGGTCCCAGCGGGAGGGTGGCCGCGGACGAGTCCTCGAGGATCAGAGTGCTTAACAACGCGACGACAAACATAAATTGCGAAGATTCCCACTATGGTTGAAGTTCAAACTCTCCCTGCTGTGAATCCTTCCCTGAGGAAAACGATGGATATCGTGTCACACAATCTGTGTAAACATTCCGTCAGAATCTAGCCTTTTGATGTTTTAGAGTACGATTAGATGATAAGGCACTGATACTAGGTCAAGTCGGGATACCAAGAACCCTCAACAATGAATTTCTCGTATCATAGGACTACGAATCAGCGTGCAGTTTCGGACTCTGAACAGGATCATCTTGCGGGCAGGGAAACCGTGCCGGTTCGAAGCTCGGTAATTCCAGCAAACCGTGCCGCAACGAGCTGGAAGTTCTGGAGAGGCCCGAACCGCCCCGCTTTCGCTCGCCTATTTTCCTGAGATACTTGGTGGACTCCTCCTTGCTCAACTGGAGAGACAACAAGAATTTTGGACTTTTATAAGGCATAGGAATAGCAGATGGTCCTCGATGTGGTCACGCGACGACTCCTCAGCATTATATCGGGATGCATCGGAGAGGCGCGTCAGCCTGAAAATTACCAAGGGATGCTCACTTTCCTGTCACCGTCGTCGTCGATGATGCGAAATAGGTTACCCAGGCTGCAGATGCCTCCCGGACTTCGCGACTTCAACTTCTTACGAAGTTCGTCTGGAACGAAGACACGCCCGCTCCATCTCTCCCGGAAGGTTGGCTTCCCGCTCGAGCGAATAGAGAGCCATCTGAGAGCTTCCCACTTGCATGAAGTGAGAGGGCCATCGGATGCACGACCGAAGCGTTCTAAGCTGGGGATTCACTATCGAATGAGCCTTGTGCTCCAAGAAGTAGTATGGAAGGCCCTAATGGAGAATGCCGACATTCGTCTCCTTCTTGCCGTGCATCTCGGTGAGTCTGTCCGGGAAATCGGATCCCCCTCGTCATGGCGACTCGAAGTTCCTGAACCTGCAGGGAGCAGGAAACTCTACTCATTGACGACGAAGCGACTGTAACAAACTTTAACATCACCTCTTACTAGAGAATTGTTGATTCTTGTCAACGTGCTATGGCTTCATAGAAGTTACGAGAAAACGTCAACTCAGCAAGTGGTGTTGTTGGGTCGAAACCTACGCAGCGATCCGGGACGTTGACGATCCAGCGGACCGAGCATGATGAGCCGGTTCGGTTGCTGACAATTCTGAGCGGGAAATCATCTTCCGCCGTCTGGCATAAAAGTTATCAGCGCGAACCATTATGAACTCAAGGCAATCTTTGAGTGGAATTCGGAGACTTTTTTACAGAATCTCTATTCCGAGAGTATACCAACAAAGTCATCAACTAGCGCCCAGCTGAGCTTAGGTTCCATGGTTGTATAGTGCGCACCCGCAGAACTACAATCGGGTCGTCCATATCTTCATGGCCGATGCAGTCGTACTTGACGACGAACGCTCACTCACAGCTCACTGCGCACAGTCCATCGGCAATGGATAACGACGACACGTGAGGGGTTCGTACCCTCGCGGGCACAGCTTGAGGATTAAGCAGGCCGCCGCTTCAACACCTCGGCCAGTCGTTCTGAGTCATTCAATACAATTCTTAGCACATGTTCTGAGAATTTACTCCGAGAGTCCATTCTGAGAATACCTCCTATAACGAATTCCGACTGATTTCTCTGGACACCCCGATGAGCCCCGGACCATAGCGTATAAATTTATCGTGCTAACAATGCCCATTGTCCATAATAGGCACCTTGCCGAATTTTGGCGCGGTGACACAACTTGGAGACTGCGTGGAACTTTGCTTACTTCAAGTAAGCCCTACTTCAACTTGAAGTGAGTTACTTGCTTACCCTTGAGTGAGGCGAGTTCAGCGACTTTCTCTCGTTCAGGCTCTTCTCGTCAGTTCGAAAGCAATAGAAGAGCGATAGCGGTAGACAGGACACTCTCATGAACACTGGCTCAACAGCACACGTGATAGAGACAATATCCGCGAGGTATCGCACTTACCTGCGGGCTCACTGCCACTGACTGAGCAGATGACGCGAATGACCTTCTCACTGCAGTGAATTAGCCAACTCAAAAGTCAATTTCAAATAACTGTCTCGACCGGGGACGTGAAACAAATTAGGAGCAAAAAGAGTCATCGATCTCACAGGCTAGTGTACCAGCATTATGGTGGCACAACATCACAGAATCGAGACCCTATGTGCTGGAGGTTTCCGCGCATAAAGACCGATAGCTGACTGCAGACAACTAGGTCGACATTTACTTTAGCTCTCCTGAACCTTACGGCACTCATTTCCATCGGCTCATTAAGGCTGCGAAAAAAATCTCATGCATATTCTTATCGTAGTGGGGAATAAGTTGGACGACGAAATCGATCAAACATAGATAGGACACGGGCGTATCAAAGAGTCGGTAGCAGCAGTTAATGGTGGTACTGGTGATGATGATAGAATAGCCATGCAGAATGTTATACGGATTTTCATCCGATCAGATTAGCCTCCAAAACCTCTAACTCTCTTCACGCTTTCGTCATCATCGCAGCTCAACTGCAGTGTGTTGTTATAGAGCGTCGGATAGGCATCATACGATTTGACTCGGTAGTCCGATCCACGGACGTTCACTTTCCAGTTTTCATCCACCATGACGGACGACACCTCGATATCCTCATAGTTGAAGGCGGCGTCCTCGGACTTCGCCAGGAACTCATTCTCGTACAAATCGTATACGGCAAAGAAGTTGTCCTCGTCTCCTGGGAAGTCCTCATTGAACATCCCGCAACAGACACGTCCCTCTGTTCTTGGTACGAACTTGGCGGCCTCGACATAAACTTCCTTGCTCTCCTTGATAGAGTTGGCCGGCCCCAAGACACACAGGAACTCCTCCCTAGCGTACCCCTCAGGAGCGACCCATTTCTTCATCAGCACCTTCGAAGCCTTGCCGTTCTCAACAATCACATCTTCAAGTGTAAAAGACGTCCCGTTGGCCTTTGTTCCCTTGGGCATGGACATTAGATAGTCCCAAGCTGACTTGCTATCGTTCAGCATGTAGACTTTACCGGACTTGGCGACACCGAATAATCTCCTCCCACCGGAGTCACTAGTCACGTAGCCAATTGGCTCGGGGCTCTTGATTGGTTTCTTCATTTTCCCCTCGAGGACCTTGCAGCGGACGTTACAATCATCCTCTTCAACGACAAAGTACAACTCTTCTCCGAGTATACATCCCGTCTTGTACGTCCCCTTGAAACTTCCCATTCCATGCAGCCATCTCTTGATGGATGTGCCTTTGCCACCGTACTTGTAGTGCTCACGCATCTCCTCACTGTCAAAGAAGGCCAGGGAGAACCCAGACTTGGTCGACTTCCAGGCGAAGATACCCAAAGAGTATCTTCTGTTGGAACCATAATAAGCCATGGACTGGTATCCGTCCAAACGCAAGTTATCAGACTCGGAGCCAATCAGCTTGCAAGAGTTCGGGAAGCTCGGCAACTTTCTCTTAGTCGACTCCTCGACGGCGTCAGTGTCCGCCGCTACGACGATCGGTTGAGTTACCATGTGAGTTGCCATTTGAATGGATGCAAGGGGGACTGATCCATCCGAAGATATCGGAACAAGGTGATCCCTCCTACACGATGTTCGTCTCGGAGACAATGTAATGTCGAGTTCAAATAGCAGAATTCTGGAAGCGCTTGGCGCTGTAGTGCGCCATGGGTTACACGACAGAGGTTACAGTAACTCAAGTCACAACAGTCATACAGCAAGAGTCTACACTCATACGACACCTGAGGGATTCGAACCCTCGCGGGCAGAGCCCAACGGCTTAGCAGGCCGCCGCCTTAACCACTCGGCCAAAGTGTCTCTGATATCACAACTGCAGGCCAGCTGTACATGCAAAAGGAGCTGCATGCTCCTCATCGAACACAATATCCCGGACGGGCGCATGATTATCTAATCCCCCGGACAACACAATACTGTTATTCGGTTTTGTAGCTATTGCGAGACGAATGAAGTAGTAACGATTCGAAAAAGTACATCTGGTACATTGCTGGTCGCATACGGTGATAAGCACTCACTAGTTACCAATGCGCATCAACGAGAGACGAGTTTTGGTAGTCTGAGCGGCCCTGCGTCGGGGCTCGCCAGGCCGTTCAAGGAGAAACCTCGACTACTTAATCAGATTCGATCTACCAAGTGCATGAAACTCCTCGTGCGAAAATTGCTGCATCATTGATCAGCCGATCAAGTCGGAGTAGGGGTTGGAGTAAAACTTTGCGCTACAGTAATGCCAACTTGGAAATCGCGAATCCCCGATGACCCGGACGCCCGCGCAACGCGCGCGGCGCCTGTAGCTTTATCAACGAGAAATTGTCATACGCTTGAAACGTGGCTGATAGATACGAAGACCCCCTACCTCACCCCCTCCGTGTTGGTCGCAATCACGCCGCGCCCCTTTTAACTATCAATCATATGCGCATTCATCGATATTCAACGTCGTGGGCGGACGCACCGGCCTCGGGTGAAGTACAAAATCCAAGGAGAAGGTACAAAATCCGAGAAACCAGAAACCCAAACTGTTGCGCAGGACAACCGTGCCCCCGAACATACTCCCTTGGACTTCGTACTGTACCTCTCCCTTGGATTTTGGGGCTCACCCCACCGGCCACCTAGCAGGCTTAAAATAAGTAATCATCGCCCGATTAGTTCAGCTGGATAGAATGTCTGCCTACGGAGCAGATGGTCGTAGGTTCGAATCCTCGGTATGGTGAAAGGATGACAGAGTTTCTGGTGATCTTCTGAGAAGGAGCGGGAATATCAACGAAATGAGTGAACGAAATGAGTGATCGAAATACCCACCCGTTCCCGACCTTCAATCAGCAGCTTCTGCGTTCCATATCATAGAGCCATCTCTTGACGGAAGTGCCTTCGCGACCGCACATGCAGTGCTCACGCATCTCCTGGCTGTCAAAAAAGGCCAGGGAGAACCTAAACTTGGTCGCAAGCGAAGATACCCAGGGAGTATCTTCTGTTGGGACCATAACGAGAGTTCGGGGGGTTTGGTAACTTTCTCTTCATCGCATCCCACGTCCGTCTCAGCTGCTATGGCGGGTCACTGAGTTCCGATATGAGTAGCTAATATGATGGAAGGAGGAAGGACTGATCGAGCCGAGGATATCGGGAAAGATGGTTCGCCTACACGATGCCCGGTACGTAGACTTGGTAACATGACAACAACTGACGCAAAATCAGCAACTGACAAAACTGCAAAATTCGGATGGCTATTCGCGTCTTGCAGTCCCATACTGACCGACGTACGACATATGATGGCAGTTGACAAACTCAGAGAGGAGGGTCCCTAAGAAACAACTTGGCATCGGTGTACAGTTGAATGCCCTTACTAAAGGCAGTGCCGGAGAGAGGGGCGGAAGTCAACTCTTCCGTCATAACTGAGCGGTCAACTCCGCTCGGACGAACGTCTCTTCAAACCAAGAGAATTTAATAGTGCCGCTAACAGCAACACGAAGGCAGCTAACCCGTAGGGACTAGACAATCCGATACACCGATTGCGTCGCCGCGGTCGCTCAGGCAGAAGCCGAAGTTGTCTTCTTATCAACAAACGTATCTCGCCAAGCTTCCTTGTTCAGCTTGCGCTGATGATTCATGCCCACCTTGATACCCAGACCTGAGAAAACTATGAAGAGAAATTTTTACGGATACATCGCTTGTACAACAGAGAATGTCGAATACAATGCACGAACACGGCGCCTGACATGGGCGTGACAGGGCCAGATTCAGAACGCCCGGATATCCCACAGGAGAATGATTGATGAGTGGCAAACTTACAGGCTAGACCTCCAAGACAGGATATGACGACGGAAAGATAGAAAGGATAGGCTGGATCCAAATCGTAGAGGCTACCAGCGGCAAATGGGCCAAAAATTCCGCCTGGAATTCACAGAATCAAGAACAACGCCAGCAGCAGTATCGCTATGCTCACCACAATTGGCGGACCCCATGATGAAAGAGTTGACAAGTCCTCTTCTCTTGGGCGGAGAGATGCTTGCGGAGAAATAAGCCATACCAGCGAAGTAGCAGACAGCTGAAATTCAAATAGTCAAGTGGGGAACCTGGGACGTCCCCTCAAATGGCGACCCGCGTTCAAATCCCCCAGCTTACTTCCGCCGGTGATTGCCATGCCCAAGAAGAGAACTCCGACTAAATTGTTTATGAACGGTACAACAACAATTAGACAAGAGATAAAGAGGCCCAAGCTGGCTAGCAGAGGAGGTTCGGCCAAGCCTGAGGTGACTAACGTACGGCCGAGTTACTATCAATGATACTCACGCGCCATCGGGACGTAAAAGATATTGACGGCGATCGTGGCCAAGACCTCAATACTGAGGATACCTCCATTCTGACCCGGAGTAAGTTGATACTGCTCAGAGCCAAGCAAGCCGAACACCGTCGTCCAGTTTATCTGGATGTATCTAATACGAAAGCGTAGGGAGACACAGTATAGATAGATCCAGCTTACTGTCCGGCGAAGGCTGCTATGGACATGCAGGCGACGGTCGGCCAGAGGAACTTATTCTTCGCCATTACAACTTGCGGGCCGCCCGACTTTCGAATGGGCATACCATTCTCGTCCTTCTCCAATGACTCGGTGAGGAAGAAGAGAAGTAGTAATACCAGAATCGCTCCGAGGACTCCGACGAAGTAGAATGGGAATGATAGGGTTACTTCAGATAACGCTCCGCCTGAATTGGGAACTTTAAGTTGAAGCGTTCACCATCGGAATGGCGGCTCAAATTTGAAGAAAGGCCCCCCTCTCCGGGTCGTACCAATGCTCGGACCAATTGCCTGTCCAACCACGATGCACAGTCCGAAGAATGCGCCATACATCTTCATGTCATCATGGCGACTACTGTCGATGATGAAGGCCATGATAACAGGACGAGTACCTAGAGAGAAGGGGCTCATCATCACACCACAGCAGGGCCAAGCCTACCAGCAGCGACGCCTCCCATTGCACGGAAACCGGCGAAGCTTCCCAAATCCCAGGCGTTGGCGACGAGGAACTGCGATACCATAAAGATGATCATAGCACCGATAATGACTGGACGACGACCGATTTTATCAGATATCGGGCCGGTGACCAGCGAAGAACAGAACGTGCCGATAGCATAGGACGCCATCAGTATCGAGGCACCGGTGCCCTGGTCAATGCTCGGAGCGAGCTTCGCAACGTACCTGGACTCCACAGCTGGGAGGAGAAGATCCATCAACGTGAATTGCCATTTTCCGTAATGTCAATGCCGCGGAAATCGTGATGTGATACTAAGTCGAATCACTTAGCGAAATACACTCTACAATGAACACCATTTCGCGGAAAGAAGTTTTTGCGGGAAAATTGGCTGTAAATCGCTTCCGCGTTTCCAATAGCGTCAATGCTGTGATCGTAGGTTCGCTCAGTGAGCGAAAAACACCTTATGTGTTCTACACGGTTCTCACCTCCCGAATGTGGAAACCGCGATGTGAACGCCTTTCACATCGCGATTTCCTTTCACTGAAAGGCGGAATGTGTATTTCCTGAGCTTTCATCGTATCGCCGGTGAAACTACATTGAACACGCTTATTTAATCGCTGCTAGCTGGCAGCAGAAAGGGGCGGAATCAACAAGACAACCGCGAAGGACATGAACTTACCACGGGGTCACCGGGGCCAGCATCGTGTTGGCCAACCACTCTAGGAATAGGCTCGAGAAAAGGAGGAATAGATCCATAATCCTCCTTGGGTGATACTTCAGTCTGTACATCAGCTTTCTGAGCGGCTTAAGTTTGGTAGTTTTCTTCGTCAGACAGAGGGACCTTTACGAGGTCTGTCGGGGATGAGGAGGATATTCTTCAGGGCTGCCATACTAGAGAAGCAGAAACAACACACGATAACACGTGGGGTGAACTGTAGAAAAACGTTCATCCAAAACGAAGACAATTCGAGCTTTCGACGAATCCGAGGCTACTGCAACTCTGAGAGTTGAACTCTCAAACCAATCACGTTCTCAACCTTTTCTATTCAGGTTGTTTTTGCTTTCTCTGATGTGTTGATTCGCTGCCAGCAACTATGGTTTGCGTCGATGAGACCAGTCTCCCAACAGGCGAAGTTCGGCAGCGCGTCGAGGGGTAGCAGGACTGATTCGGCAGCCGGCGGGCAAGGATGCGCCGTGTTCGCGTGCGTACCCATCGGCTGAAATGGATAGAAGGAGCTTTGGTTCCCATTATACTTAGTCCATCCCAGGCGTTGTTGAGTCAATCAGCGCGGGTGCCCTACTAACACGGCCGACCCGCTGGCGTCGCGTCACGCATGAACACTGTTCATTGAACAGTCTTGGGCGCGCGCGTTCGGCGGTATCGTCCCTGGTCAGGGAGAGAGAGAGTAGAATCCTATTTCACACTTGCTGCTGCAAACTGAAAAATAGCTTTACGATCTACGAGAGAGAACGAAGAGCACTGTCGGACATTCTCCGTAGAATCCAAGCAAACCCAAACTTTGCTCTTGGCGGCGTCCACTAATCATTCCTTTGGGCGGATTGTCACCTCGACAAGGTGAGCCCCACTAGGGGACTCACGACGACACACGTTAACATGCCATCGCAGCTATCATCCATATCTGGGTGCTCGACCCAGCCGTATGAATTTTATCCCCCGTTCCACTTCCACTCATAGGGTACAGAGAATCCACGCAAGAAGGGAACCACAGGGTCCTCCTTGTGGGCGTGTTATGCTTCTTGCGCATGATGGGAAAGAACGGCTCGTCCCCCTTGTGCATTCGTGTGCGTGTTATAAAACCTCTGGTCTCCGAGATGGGGCGAGGCGCGGCACCCAACTGGCGTCGCGAAGATCGACAGGACCTCACGACGGCAGCCAGGGTAACGCGAAAGCAGACTGTGCCGGGGCCGAAAGCGATACCACTAATGGCAAAGGTGGTTCGGCAGGCACAAGTTGCCTCTCGAAGACCTCGGTTAAAAAAGTGAGAGCGTCGGGAGCACGGCACCCGTCGAATCGAACCGTCATCGAGCACCTAACAGCTCGAATAACGCACGAGGCACTAGCTTGCTAGCGTGGGAGGCACACCCGGGACACTAAGTGTCCCGTTGTGCGCTCAACATAACATAGCATCTCTTCGCGCCGGTTTTAATCTAGATAAACCACTCGTTTATCCGCTGAAGTGTTGCTTCTTCCTTGTTGCTCATAGTCAACGAAAGAATGAGAGTAAAGTCTCTCTACCTCCTAAACTTACTCCCTCTCGAGGGGAATAAGCTATGCACGCATGCACAAGACGATCGGCGCATAATGAGTAACAACCGGTTGAAAATCCAACGCCGTCGCCGGCCTAGTTTCATTCGATGCCAGCAATTTAACGGCGAACTTTGTGTTGCGTTATTTAGTTAGCCCGAATGCTGTAATAACGAGCTGAAGGAACAGACCGGAGCCTTTCACTCCCTCGGAGGGAGTCCCTCCCGGCAGGGTCCATGCGTAACTTGTGCAAGCACAGCGAATTCTCCTCGAGAGAGTCATCTCCGTCTTCTCCAATCATGTTGCGTTGACTGCAAACAGCAACGAAGGAGCAACAACAGTTCCGATCTCCCCAAACCACACACTGCCCGGCGTTTCGCATGAATCCATTTTAGACTCGCACAAGAACCACAAAACGGGAAATCTCCCCTCAGCAAAGAACATCTTTCTAATCCCAGATCAAGAAAATCTCAGGTG